GCAGGTCCAGTCCCCTCCTCCCAGATTGAGCCAAGTGTCCCTGCATAAGTCCCAGGTTTCAAACAGCTAACTCATGCAGTGAGCCCAGGACCTGCTTTTAAGGTGCAGATTGTGTGACCACGCCAGTGCATACATAGTCACCAGCGCACACTGATGACGCAGGACCCTGAATTGTGCATGTGAAATTATGTAGCTGGAGTGAAGGCAGAATTCTAACACCCAGGTCTTCTGAAAGGCAGCCAGTGCTCTTAACTCCTGAGCCATCTTGACAGACCCTGTGACAGAGTCTTTCACTGGAACCCTGCGCTTTGTTGATCAAGCTAGACTGGATGGCCAGTGAGCCCCAAGGACCCCCTCCCCATCCTCCGATTCCCTGGGCTGGGATTACAAGCGTGCACCGCCATAGTAGATTGAATAAGAGTGCCCCGCATAGGCTCGCTATTTGAACACAGTGATCCGGTTGGTAGTGCTGTTTGGGGACTGTGGTTAGTTCAGTCTTGCTGAAGGAAGTGCATCACTGAGATGAGGCTGTGAAGTCCATAGCCTACTCCACTAGGGTCTCTCCTGCTTTGTGTTTGTGGCCGAAGATGTGACTCCTCAGCTTCCTGCTCCTTCCATCATACCTGCTGCTTGCTGCCATACCTCTGACATGATGGACTGTTATCTCTATAGAACTGTAAGCCCAAAAAAGACCTTTGCTTCCAGAAGTTGCTCTTTTGGTCATGGTATTTCACCACCACAACAGGAAAGCAACTACTACAGCCAATACCATGTCCAGTTTGCCCCCTTACATTTATTTGCGTTGGAGAGCGGTGCACACGTGCCAGAGTCCATGCGTGGAGGTCAGAGGATTAGACTCAGGTCATCAGGCCCGTAGCCGGTGGCTTTATTTGCTGAGCCATTTTGCTGGCCCCTTGTCCAGACTTTTACCTGAGTCCTGGGGATCAAGCTCAGGTCTTCATTCTTGCATGGTAAAAAGCATTAGCAACGTAGCTCTGTCCCCAGTCAGTCCCCATATGTCACTTCTATCCACTGGTGGACATTTAGGTCATTTATACACCGGCTGTCATGAATCTATGCTGTGATTGTCCACAGATACGGTCTTATGTGGATGGATGTAAGTTTTTTATCCCCCTCAATAATGACCTTGGTAACTAATTCTATAACTACGTTTTTTTCACAGTGGCTGTTTGTTCCACTTTACATCTGCACCAGCAACACACAGTGCTCCAAACAGTTGCCACGATTATAGCCATCCCATAGGCAGGCAATGAAACAGACTTGTTTTGTTTTAAGGTTTATTTATTATGTATACAGTGTTCTGCCTACATGCCACAAGAGGGCATCAGATCAAATTACAGATGGCTGTGAACTACCATGTGGTTGCTGGGAATTGAACTCAGGTCCTCTGGAAGAGCAGTCAGTGCTCTTAACCTCTGAGCCATCTCTCCAGCCTGTGAACAGGTTTTAAAAGAGGTGTGTGTGTGTGTGTGTGTGTGTGTGTGTGTCTGTCTGTCTGTCTGTCTGTCTGTGTCTATGTACACCTAGGCACACAGGTACATGTGCTGTGGTACACACATGAGGAGATCGAGGACAACTTATGAGAGTTGTTTCTCTCCGTCCACCATGTGAGCCCTGATGACTGCACTCAGGTCTTCTGGCTTGGCAGCAGGAAGGCCCACCTTGCTAAGCCATCTTCCAGCCTTATGAGTGGTTTTACGTGGCAGTTCCTTAAACACTATGGATGGTGAGCGTCTTTTCATGTGCTGACCGGCACACCGACCTCTTCTGTAGAGAAGTACCAACTGAGACCTGTGTGAGTTTCCCAGGACTACTGCCAACAAGTCTACAGTTTAGTCACTGAAAACAACAGCAGTCTCCTGTCTCTAGGTTCTGGACAGCCAAAGCCTCAAATCAAAGTGTTGGCAGGATCATGCTCTCTGGTACTCCGGACAGGTATGTTCCAGACCTTTCTCTCGGCTTCCCTGGCATTTCTTGCATTGAGCTTTGTAGATGCATCATTACCACCTGTGCCTCTTTATGACCTGGCGCTCTATTCATGTGCCTCCCTGTACGTCTCTCACCCATGTGTGAGCGTGTGCAGGTGTGTGTTCGCAGGTGTGTGTTCGCAGGTGTGCAATACATGTTGAGGCCAGAGATGATCTCAGCACCAGCTTAAATACTCTCTTGTCCTTAGTCCCCTCTGCCTAACGAATTAGTCTGTTAGCTTTAAATTCAATTTCACTCAAGTTTTAGGGCATGGGCAGAATTAAACTGGATTCTTATAAAAATATCACTCGAATGGGCCCTACCCCAGGTCCTGATAGATTCCTTGTTTTCTACTGAGACCTCAACAGTCAGGCATCTGTCTGTCCACTGTCCACACTTCTTTCAGCATTCTTGTCTCCTAAGTTTTACTTACAGCCTTCTAGAGCTTTTCTACCCCAAACTTCCAAATTGTTCCAAATTTCTACATATTCCTTCCAAAAACAAGTTCCAAACGCCTGTGAACCACATGGTCAGGTTTATCACAGCACTGACCCCACTCCTGGTACCGATCTTCTGCCTAGGTTCCTTTTCCTATTGCCATGGCAAAGGGAGAATGGGTTTGTTTGAGCTTATGGCTTGAGGAACCTGGCAGCAAGAAGGCAGCTGGTCATGCTGCACCCACAGTCAGAAAGCAGAAAACGATGAACACTTACGTTCAGTTCATTTTTTCCTTTTTATACAGGCCAGGATCCTCTGCCCAGGGAATGGTGCTACCCATAGTGCATGGCTCTTCCCATCTCAATAAACCTAATCAAAACAATCTTTCAACAGGCACATCCAGAGAGGGTCGTCACCTAGCTGATTTTTTAGATCAAATTGACAAGTGAGATTAACAGTCACAGCTTGTAATAGCTCAGTGTCTGGTACAAACTCTTTCCAATAGTCCTGGCTGAGGCTACGCCTACAGGAGCCAGAGAAATCAAATGTTACATTTGCATAGTTGTCTCAAGGCATCTGTGGAGAGTTTAAGATGGCTAGTGGAATGTAAGAATAGTCCAGACAACTGTCTGACTGACCGCCCTTTAGCCCAAGACAGCCAAGGCAGGAAGAGAGAGTTCAACAGCTTCCAATAGGGAGTCAGATGGTCCCACCCCTCACATTTTTATTTAGAGAAAGCTGAGCACCAGGAAGAGTGCATATAGCAAGGATTTCAGAATTTATCATTAAATTAATTAAACCATGTTAACATCATGGTTTTAACAGTGTTTAACACCTGCTCAGTGCCCCAGAGAAGGGTGAGTCCCCCTTACCTGTCTAAACCCAAAAGTGTTTTCATCATAAAAGGATTGTGGACTTTGTCAAAAATCTCTCTCCATAATTGCTGACATGACTACATGGGTCATTGTTTTATTTTTAAGATTTTATTTTTATTTTTAATTATATGGATATGTGGTCTCTCTTTCTCTGTGTCTGTCTCTCTGTCTGTGTGTGTGTGTGTGTGTGTGTGTGTGTGTGTATGTGTGTACACATGAATGCAAGTTCCCATGGAGACCAGAAGAGGCCTTTGGCTCCCCTAACCTGGAATTATAAGAGGCTGTAAGCTGCCCACTATGGGCAGTGGGACACACTGGTCCCCTGGAAGGGTAGTCTATATTCTTAATTGCTGAGCAATCTCAATAGTGGAACCCTTACTCGCAAGGCCCTGGGTCCCATCTGCAGCACTATAATTAGTTAATTAGAATATGTTTTCATTAGTCACTTTTCTAAATAAATTTCAGTTCTCTGGAAAACTAATCCAGACTAACGAGCCAACAATAGCCACAAATGCACTTCCTGGAAATGGTGGGTTTTAATCATCCCATTCTTTCTATTCTCCTGCCCTGTGCTGGCGCTGGTTTGGAAAGCTTTAAAAATAAAATTTAATTAAATACAGGAAATTTGGGAGAACGAAAGGCTGAGTAAAACCCTTAAAGACAGTGACTGGTACTGACAGTCTCTTCACACAGAGTGTCTGCACAAGACACCTTCCTCACAAGCCCAGGCTATCTGCAGGCCCTGCAGAAACAGCAGAGCAAAGCCTCATCTCCGTTGAAGTTCCCCAACTCTTTCATTCTGAACACTCTCAGTCCACCAACCTTTACCAGGACCCGAGGGAGGGGCCCAGAATGACTTGTTCTTACTCTTCTCTTTAAAGATAACAACAGAAGAATATGAATGTGATTTAAAAAATAATAATAGACAAGAAAGCAAACAAGGAGAAAGATGACCTGGGAGAGAGCAGAGGAGGCCTGCAGCAAATCTGACTCCCGAGTGAGGCCCAGCACTGGGTAAGTACTCATCTCTGACTCCCGAGTGAGGCCCAGCACAGGGTAAGTACTCATGTCTGACTCCCGAGTGAGGCCCAGCACGGGGTAAGTACTCATGTCTGACTCCCGAGTGGGGCCCAGCACTGGGTAAGTACTCATCTCTGACTCCCAAGTGGGGCCCAGTGCTGGGTAAGTACTCATGTCTGACTCCCGAGTGAGGCCCAGCACGGGGTAAGTACTCATGTCTGACTCCCAAGTGGGGCCCAGCGCTGGGTAAGTACTCATGTCTGACTCCCGAGTGGGGCCCAGCACGGGGTAAGTACTCATGTCTGACTCCCGAGTGGGGCCCAGCACGGGGTAGGTATAATGAGCATGGTAAAAAGTGCCTTTTAGACATCTGAAAATAGCTTAGTCAGGAACCCCACTATACCCAGGGCTGCACCAGAACCCAGTGACAGCATTCACTCAAGATAACCCCATGACACCCACTGGACGGGAGATAAGCAGAGACCAAGAGCAATGCTGCACACTGGAGAGATACCACCTTGATCTGCCCTGGGACAGGAGAGTCTCCCACAGGATCCTGACCCTCAAGTCATCAGAGGCTTCTGTTAGAGACTGGACCCGACCTCCAGCTAAGATACATCACATAGATGAGCAGCCTTGGGGAGACAGGCTTAGGAATGTAGTTAGGAACTTAGAGTGTGAACCTTGTGTGATGACCCTCAACATAATAAAATGTAACTTTTGTTACACCAACTATGCGTATCTACCTTCTTGCTTAAGACAGTAGTTATTGCTGGGCGGTGGTGGCACATGCCTTTTAATCCCAGCACTTGGGAGGCAGAGCCAGGTGGATCTCTGTGAGTTTGAGGCCAGCCTAGTCCAGCCTGGTCTACAAAGTGAGATCCAGGACAGGCACCAAAACTACTACATGGAGAAACCCTGTCTCGAAAAACAAAAAACAAAAAACAAACAAACAAACAAACAAACAAAAAGACAGTAGCTATCATAGCTGACCGCATCATAGCTGACCTCTGAGTACCGGGGGCTGAGCATGCAGCTCCATACCTGACATCCGTGTGGGCCTGGATCTTGAGCACCTTCACGTCTGAGTCTAGCACATTCAGAAGCATAGCCAGCTGCCTCACTAGGGTTTCCTTCTGCTGCTCGGTCAGCTGCTCGACACTAACCTGCAGGATCAGCTCCACCAGGCCATCCTTCTTGGGGTCTGAGGAGAGAGAAGACACAGGATTTTCACCACGAGATCACAGGCTTGGTAAGGCAAGGAGCAGGGTCTGTAGAAGGGTTCAAAGCCAGACTGGGCACGTGGCTCAGGAGAGGGGTGCTGGCCCGGTACCCACAGATTGTGGGTTCCATGGCCAGCACAGCAAAAGTAGGTCAAAATAAACAAATACAAGTATAAAAGAACCCTTGTCTGTCTTTTATAGCTAGTTTTAGGACTGAGATCATTCTAAAACAGCAGAGAGGTGGGTGTGGTAGCACACACCTACAATACCAGCACTTGGGGCTCTGGGGGCAAGAGGATCAGGCGTTCAAAGTCATCCTTACTGCACAGTGAGTTTGAGGCCAACCAGGGACACATGAAACCCTGCCTTAAAAAGAGAGCTGAGCTGGGCGATGGTGGTGCACATCTTTAATCCCAG